CGGAATTGTTGCTCTGTGCGTGCGTTTGCGAACTTGGTTGTAAATCGGACTAGAGACGTCGCCGTAAAATTTGAGTGTTGAACCCTGTTCAAATATTAATGACCAGTTTGCCCGAGATCCATCGTGGTCTTTTCCTTCCACTTTACTCCTTGCCAAGTTATTTTTGGCACAAGAATTCGCCAGGCTATACTGAGATTTTTTATGGTTTTCTTAAGTCCAGGGAGAATGTTTTGTAAGCTTCAATACTGGTATTCGCCACGACGTTTTTCCCCATCTTTAATTTGAGGGGCTTTATAGGTATATATAAATCACACTCAATACTTGAGGTTTTGACGGCGTTGAATCTGAAAATGGCTGTCTTCAAATGAGTTTCATCGCCCTGATGATGGAAGCAGCAAGGACCTATCAAATGTTGATAAACTTCTACTACATTACACGGCACTACGGCCCAGAAGACAGTCATCTTCATAATCACACTCATTCGACGGTTAATCCTCTGCAGTTGGTATGTAGTAAATTAACATCCTTTCGCAATAAGCCATCGTCTTCAACACGACTTTTCACAGTTTGTGCGTTTATTTCTTGTCGTGTCTGTGTGGGGGTTAGTAATATGGAGACTGTCGGCGAAAAATTCGATGGTGGACCATCATCTTCGATCTCTGTAATTACGTCGCCTACTGTAGACTTCGACGGAATACAAGATGTAGGTAGGAAGCGACGTTGTAATTGAATCCGAATCACCCCGGAAACTAGTTTGTTATTTAAGATATTCTTCATTGAAACCTGTTTTGGGTTTGTGTGAGGAGAAATGAATGTCGTGGGACCAGATTCCTCGAGGATTGGAGAAGGTGAAGTCGTTTCAAAATGTTTCCCAAGTACTGATTTTGTGTACTTTTTTTTATTTTCGTTGTACTAAGTGGAATTTTAATCCTACATCAACTTGTGTTACGTCCAGGTCAAGGAAAATTCTTGAATCTTCACGGAAGCTAAAAGTTCTAATATATTTAAGTTTGAATCCTGTCTCAGTCTGACAGTTTGAGATAACGTGTGTTAAAACTGTGTGTATATTTGCGTATATTGAATATATGGATTGTGTGATGCCCCTAAGTAGCAGGGACGAAAGTGAAAACTTTAATGTAAATTATTAATTATTTTAAAATGTATTTTTTAGCGTAGTCGACAGTTTAGGGGCAAATGGCCGTGAGTCAGTCTTAAAATGTTACTTACGAGGCAAGTCCCATCTAGAAAGTTCGGATATTTTAAGAGACAACATAGAATGTGAATTTCTTTGTTGTGGTATTAAACTTCTATTACGTATCTGCATAATTTGTTAGAACTCGACGCAATAAATGATTTCAGCACACAAGATGTCTCGTTTAGAGACGCGGCAATTTTGGCCATGGATAAAATCAATGTATGCAAGTCTACAATTTCTGTTTTGTTTGTTCCTTTGTGAGGTACTGGTTTCTGTGGAAATGTGAAAGAAATGAAGGTCTATCAGGTGACCGAACTCTGCTTAAATAACGCACCTAACATCCGTGCCGTCCACGATGAAAGATTCATGCAATGTTAGATTTTAGTTAAGTGATTTTCACCTCTAGGCTTAAAATCAAGAACTGATCTTCGTGGATTTTCGCAAGGTTACGAAGTCAGAATAAATTAATTTTAATAATGTAATGGTTAAGTTGCTGGGTTTGCGTGCGTGAACGTTAAACGACGATTGGACCGTCACTTGAATCTCAAGGGTAAGAAACGGGTGCCTGCCAGACCTGGAGGAATATTAGCACGTGTAGGATAAACTAGTATCAGGCCAGGTTATTGAACTACGCGTTTTAGGCCGGATCGCCAACATCTTTTACCTATCGTTGTTTTATTTGTTGAATGAATGAAAGAATAAATTCTTTATTTTGTTTAAAACAAGTCGTGAGGTGAATGAACACACGGGGCTTGACGTTTGACGTGGATTGCAGATCATTGCAAGCTGATAGTCGTCGGTTTCCACGATGGTGATTGCCTCTTGTTTCTAAATTTAAGATAAGCGTAGTGTAATATTTTAATATTTTCCGTCAAATCACAATTTTTAATAAGATAATAAAATATTTAAAATATCATTTCACGTTCCGCATCGAATGATCGATTTACAAATTGGAACGTCTTTTACGACATGTTTCGGTTATATTTAACCGTCCTCAGGTATAAATTAGATTGGTAATTTTAAAACTCGAATTACAATCATTTACAATGTTATGCAGTTTATTGAAATGTTCTTATCAGATTACTCTTATATATTAGAACGAAGGTATTGTTTTTTATATATCTTATTAAAATTGTGATTTGACGGAAAATATTAAAATATTAACCTAATTCACAATATGACGCAAATATACTACCTTATAAGCGGTTTTATAACTCTCTTTTTGTCTAGTAAGAATAATTGTCAGTTGTCCTGGGAATTGGAGGCGTCTCTACGTCGTCGTAGTACCCGGATTCGCCGTGAGAACTCGAAATCTTCTTGTTTGATGTCTCTCTTTTTGCAGACTCATTGATGAAACGTGTTTCGTAAAAGTTATTCATGCAGTCGCGCCCCGCGTCCTATCTTGAAGGGTAGATAAGTAACGGGTATTTCCGCATTGACGATTTTAAATCATAACGGAACGTTTCGTTATGAAATGTTTCTGAAATGCAGTTCCTGTAACGAAGGGATTTCTGACTTTCAGTTCTCTGAAGAAAGAACTTTACACTGCCAGTTTCGGTTCTGATATTTCTGTGTCAAAGTACGAAGAGCACGTGTAGTGGATGGCACTGGTCCGCGAGTAGCTGATTGAAAACCTCCGGCGTAGATGACTCTGAAAAAAAAAATTGTGCCCAACCCCCCTTCCAATTAATGACGGTGATTACGCGATTGTACTCCATTTTAATCAAGTAGAGTTGATGATTTCCAACCCTAGGTGGCGTCCAAGGCCTTGACATTGGAGAGTAAAATAGGTACAAGAAATACGCTTGGCTGAGTAGGTGTTTTGGAAGTGAACGCGGTGAGATCTGTCTTGAACGAAACCTTAATGTTATGTGAAGCAGGCGCTGTCGGAAAATCTCTCCTATCTCGAGTATCTTGAGATGAAAAACGAGCCTAAAATTGCCTCCGGTAAACGGAAATTATTTAATGTAAGGAAATATAGCGGCAGTTTTTGATATCGATATGTATTATAATTACATAGTGGAATATGAAGTAGCTATTGTATTTAATTAAGCACCACGTCGTGAAGATGTGTTAAGGTACAATTTGGCTGCACGCGACCGAGACAGGCGACAGAGTTACGAGACCGAGACTGGTCGCTTCCTGTCTCCTCTCTGCACAGTCGTATGAAGTACAATTACGAGCGCGAGACAAAGACAGGCGTCAGAGACAAAGCACAGGAGACCGCTCTCGGACCAGTAGTGTCTCGCGACGGGCTCAGGCAGCACGTCAGTACGTAACCAAACTGCTTATGATTCAATCTGAAATAACTCCTGAAATTATCTTCTTCTAATGACAAATGATTCTTTATTAACAGACAGAAAGATCCTTCTTCACGTCTGGTTTTGAATATTGAACTCATAGGTTTTCTTTGTTTCTTTCGCAACAAATAACACAGCAACACATCATCTTCTTCTTATTCTTCGAGTAACCTTTTTAGAAGCATTTTTGTACTCATTTTTCACAGAATATGTGCACGTATGTCTCAACAAAACAAAGAAAACAAACACTTTACCGCATGTCTCGGTCGTCACCTCAAAAGTGTGTGGCGACAAGCTGCGATGTGTCCGTCTCCCGTCTCTGTCGCGTGCAGCCAAATTGTACCTTTAGAGAGTGGCGATACGTATCTCGTCTGATTCTTCACACGTTCGGGCTCATTTTACCCTCCTTAAAAGAACCCTCGGTGCCCATTAATCTGCAGAGTTCTCTGTTTATAAGAGTGTGTTTTAAGAAACGATCTGATGTTTACGTACCTGAGCTCGTGTTAGTTAGAAGCAGATGTTGCTGACTTCTTGGATGTTGAGCTTGGAATTACAACCCCACACTGGTCATTTACCACGATGCCATTATGAGAGGCTGAATGTGCGTGATGTACAGGGTAGTTTTAAGGGAGGTGTCTAAAATTCAGTCACCTGTATGCAGTACATAAATTTTGTTTTCGATATCATTGCTGACTGTCGGGAACAAGAATTTACGTGGAATTTAAGTGCATACTACGAAGGGGTTGGAGTAAACTTCAGTTTCTGTGGCTGTGAAATTTTATTTGTTATTCCAATTGAAAATTTTCAAAAACAAAGAACAAATGAGAATATCTGGTGGTGAGATGGGGAAACAGACGGAGAATCGGAGAAACTGCATTTGATTTCCCATTTACAACATTATTCTGATTCATAGCCACACAGTGAAGTGTCTCGATGTTTCTGAAATGTTGCCCCATGTTTAATTGATCGAGAATGTCCGGCAGTAACTGCGATTATTTTATATATATTATTTATTATTTAAATCTTATCCGTCTAATCACAATAAATTCTTATTAAATATTAAAATATTACAATAATTAACATTTAAAATATTTAAAATATTAAATGATGTTCTTTATCGAAATATTCGATTTACATTGATTTGAATCTTTATATAATTATATACACCTGAAGATGGTTCTTTTAGGAACTGAAACATGTCGTGAAAAATGATGGTCTAATGTAAATCGAATATTTCGATAAAGAACATCATTTAATATTTTAAATATTTTAAATGTTAATTGTTGTAATATTTTAATATTTAATAAGAATTTATTGTGATTAGACGGACAAGATTTAAATAATATATATTTATTATATCACAATATGACGCAACTTTACCATCTCATGCGATTATTATAGTTTTGTCTTGATGGACTGCTTCCATGCTTCAGATAAGTGATGCTAATGAATTTGTGTTTTCTTATCGTTTTAGTTATGCAGTCCCACTAAGCACAGTTCAAAATGCAGGGATGCTGGAGCTTTCTGCTTGGCTTGTGTCCTGAAGCGCAATCCAGGTCTAGGCATCTGCGTGGTATCGAGGGGGCACTGGTTCTCAGTCTGTTTCTTTTGGTGCATGACACTTGTGGCGATTACAACACCTGCAGTGTTGGTTTGAGTACTCCTGGAGGTGAGCATTCTCCCGGATTCTTCCAGACACTGACCAAATTAGTAAATAGTAAATATTGCACCTCATTTTTGCATGTAGAGGTGCTGTATGTCAGCCATCTGGACTGATGTTAGTTACTTGGTATTGTTTATTTCCTCTGTTGGTTTTACATACGTTTTTCAGTGTTATTTTTCGTATTCTAATTTTTAGTCAAAAGTCATGATGATGCTTTACTCTTTAATTATGTTTGCGTATTAAAACGAGAAGCTGAGAATAGGGAAAACTGGCGAACTCTTTTTGGGCAGACCAGAACACTAAATAATAATAATTGAAGGAAATCAAATATCAGACATTTCTTTTTCATGGGAGATTTTTTATACTTTCAAACGGTTTGAATTACCAAGCTATGCATTTTTTAGAAGACTAATTATGTTTTCTTTTGTTTTCAGTGACAATTCCTAGAGGAGACGTTTTATTGGAGTATGGAGAACCTTTGAGAATCCTATGTATATTGAATGTGAGCCATTCGGCAGCTGTGGGAAAGAATTCAAGTGACTTGGTATTTTTTCATGACAGTAATGAGATACCACATGAATTTGTAACAGTGGTTAATTCTACAACGCTTGAAATATACGTAGAAAAGCCACCAATTTCCTCCAGCATGTATTACTGTAAACTGAAGACAAATAATATACATGATCTGTACACAGCCGTCTGCCTCAACAAAGTAGTTGTCGATCGTAAGTATGATTTAGAAGGTGCATAAACTTTTAATTCATTTACGACGTCTGGTAGCTGTGCCAAGCTTCTTTCTGAGGGATGGTATTTGATGCATTCCAATATCCAGTCCGCCCTTGTAAATCAGTAGATGCAGATACTGGGATACTGGGAATGACCCGTTCTTCAAGTGCCACAGCACTGCGGGTCCCAACTTTTTTGTTGGCTTGACCTATAGACATTCGGTAGGACTCCTCGGACAATGGATCGGCCCGTCGCGAGACCTCTACCTGTACACAGGACAGCACAACACAGAAAAACGCGGACAGACATACATGGCTTGAGTGGGATTCGAACCCACGGTCCCAGCGACCAAGCGACACAAGGCCCACGCCTCAGACCGCGCGGCCACTGCGGATCCCATGTAGATGAAGAACTTGAAATTAATATTTATGTTTCTCAACATGGGATAGCGTGCTGTCATGTTTCAATCAAGTCGGTTGAAGGTTTAGCTTTGACTGTATGATCTCGTTTTATTTTATAAATAATGCGTTAAAAATATAGTATTTCCTTCAGTGGGAGAATGATAATTATTGTGTTCAAACTTACTTTACAGTTCAGAAAGTTAATTATAAAATATAAATGCAATAGACACAAACTCGCTGTTATTAATTAGGACTGTAATTGCCTCATTCTTAACTTTACTACAAAAAAAATGGTAGATTTTTTTCTTTATGTTTGCATCGGTGGTCCTTGTGTGCTTGTGATGGGAATTCCTATGTCACAGGTAGTGCAGATTGTACTACAAGTTGGTGTAAACAACAGTAATTGACTATTATTCATTTTCATTAATTCTAGAAGAGAAATGTTGACCGTTGTGTTTATTTTTGTACTTGGCCAGAATTATGGTCCTACATTTTTATCTGCAGCAGATATAGTGATTTAATAATACATTTTCTTGAAAAGAATTTAGCAAGGCTTTCAGGCACTAATTGTCTGAAAGCCTTGTTCAATTTTATGAATTTGTTCGATTTTTAAATTAATCACTTATTGATTTATGTAATGGATAATTAGGACTCTCCTAGTGCCAGTGTTAAATAATGGAAGAGAACTCTTTGCATCTTTCTCAGTGAACATCAGGAATGTGTTAACTTGCTGTTACAGGTAAACCACAAGAAGTTCAAAACTTTTCATGCATCTCAAGAAACTGGGAGAATTTGACATGTTCATGGAAGAAACCCCATAGTTTTATTACAACCACATACGATCTTTCCTTTCGTCTTCCTGGAAGAGCAGGAGGCAGGTAAGAATAAACTATTGCCGCAGTCTTCACACTGGATGAATTAAGTCTTCAAACTCTGTTAAAAGTGGAGGATTTGAAATTTTATGTTAACTAACTCCATCGTTCTGAGTCTTTGTTGAGTTTAAGGTTGCTCACTTGGTTAAGAAATCCCCGCTTTATACCTGAATGTCGATTGCCGTGTTCAAAAGAGTCCGTTTCTGGCCCCTTTGTCATCTAATTCCTGTCCACTCCTTCACATCCTCTTTCATCAAGACCCATTTTAATATTATACTTTTGCCTGTGTCTAGTGTTAATATATTTGTTCACAGTTAAAACTGTTTATGTGTGTTGCTGTATCACAAATTTGTTCATGTCTTAAAGTACCCAGAAATTTTTGAGTTGCAGCGAGAGTGAGGGGAGCCATTATTAAAGTTCATGAAAATTCATTTGCATAAATGGAAATTTGTTTTGTGCCTAGAGATAAACATAAAAAGTTGGACATAAGCCTTTCAACTTTGATGGGAGCGGGAATGCGCAAATACTCTTGAAAGACGCAAATTACACATACTGATTCTTTTTGTACATATATCTTCTTCTTCAAGAATTTTTTATGCAGGTGTGTTCTGTCTGCCGATAGTCTTTCCTTTTAAAATTTTACCACCTCTTTCTTTCCTTGTTGATGTCTTCTAGTGCCAGGCTGAACCATCTTGTTCTTGGTTGTCTGATGAGTCTTTATAACTTAAATTTTAAATCTTATTCGTGTTATATTTATTGTCGTTAAGTGTCTTTTCTAATTTTGTCAACATATTATGGATTACAACTTTCTTTACAGATTTAGTTCTGTGAAGATGGATGTCTTCTGTGTTGGAAATATGTTTACCTTCTTCAAGACTACACTTTTTAACAGTAAATTTTTTTTCAATTCAGGAGAAATAATTTGTATCGTGTAGACGTAATTGTTGTTATATCACGTCTTTTTCAGAATACGCTACAGATGTCCACAAATTGTGGAAAATGAAACAGACAGCTTCTGCTTCTGGGATCTTACTACAGACCCTCACTATAGGCAACCATACGAATATTACTACTTCACATTGAGTGGCAGAAACACGTTTGGTAATTGGACCAAGCAAATAAAGTTTCATCATTACTGTCATGGTAAGTCTTAAGTTCATTATCGTAATTTTTAATTCTAGGCAGTACAGACTTCTGTAGTAAAGGAAGCATCCTCCTAATTGCCAAACCTCTCAGGTTAAAAATTGTGACATATTATCATGCCAGCCAGTAGTAATTCGAACTGCTAGGGGAACTGACGTACTAAAGTTTGAATATATTAACCCTTTGCGGCCCATTTTAAATACCACTATGGCTCTCTGCTGGTCTATTGAAATGCCACTAAGCTGTGTAAATTGAACTAGTATTATATACAGTTTTGATTTTCTTTTTAACTTGCATAAAACGGAAGATACTTTGCTAAATATGGTGAAAATATGTTCTGAGAGGATCACAGTTCCTCTTGTTTGAATACTAACCGTCTGAAATATTTTTTACGGGCTGTAGCACAGTCACATGTGAGATGCGTAATATGTGATGCCTTTTAGCTTCCTGCCATTTGGTAGAGAATAAAGCAAGTCCTAGTGGGTAGGTATGACTTTGGCAACGTCTAAACTTTTCTTATTGCATGCAGATATACGATGTATAAACATTGCATTTCACATTGACAGAGCTGTGCTTCCTTTCGTCCTAATTGTTTTTGAAAGGTCAAGACCAAATTCAACACCAGGAAAGTGAAACAGAACGCGAAATGTAAACGATGAAGTCACTACACACAAAGAATGCTTGATACGAAGACAAGGAATATGCACATGTCAGTGGTAGATTCCTCTATGCGCCAAAAATAATTTAAAAAAATATAATTTCCAATTAGGAAGATGGGATATTTGTTTTATAACTTTATCAGATATAAAATACTTCTGTTCTAAGTAAATTTGACAGCTACACACACACACGATGATATTACATCTCTATGTGATGTATGGCAAAACACTTGGTGTGGAATCCTGGCTTCCTTCGACACGTGTCAGAATGAAACGACTTTTCTCTCCTGCCTCCTTTCAGTATTATAAGGTACACAAAGTCTTACCAGGAAAACTAAGATAGAACTAGTACAAAGAAGAAGGCTTGAATAATATGCTGACACTGTTTGCCAGCCTCAGTTTGAGTCCAGATCACGTAGAAGTTCATGAAATATGTGGCGGACTCAGTCTGACATCGGGCCGGAACTCGGATATTTAAATGTCGGACTCGGTCCGACACAGACCGCAGAGGGTTAAAAGTAAACCTTTTCCTGAATACAACATATGCTCTCTGTTATTCCTCACACATTCCTGGCATCTCTATAAAAAATTCACATTCACACATTGAAGTTCTTCACTTGGAACAGAATGGAGAGAACTTCCATTCACATATTTTTCTTCAGGTCTTCAATTGTGTTGAGAAATTCGTGAAGTTGCAGTGATGGGCAGTGTTCAACAAACTGTGTGTGATATATCAGAGGTGATGTGGCAATGTTTGTGATCACTTACGGTCTTTTTATTGTGTAAGTTCTGTGCATTAGTTTTGCTTTGGTGAACGGGAACCATTCATGCCTTCGGCACAGAATAATGCATTGTGTGAAACAAATGTTATTCTTTTGTTCTAGTGATACCAGCACCTCCTCCAGATCTCATGATTGTTAATGTGACAGTCACTAATGCCACCTTAGAATGGCCAGTTCCTTTTCCTCTGCAGATTTTTCCGCCTGGACTTACACCGAAGGTTGAATATCAGTCGACGTATGATGAGAGAGGCAAATGGCTGGTGGGTATATTAAATTTAGTTCAATTTTAATGCAATAAATTACACAGAATAAATCATGTTATCTCATTTGTGGTTTTATACCACTGGCTGTAGTTTGTTTCAAATCTTTCAGAAAACTATATTATTGCGTTGTTTTATGTGGTATGTTTAATTAGTTTACTCCAGAATCCGCTCTTGATAGTTTCCAGCCGAAGTGTGTAATTATGTAAGAACAAAGATTTGTTCTTAATGAGCAATCATTGAAGAATAAACTTTACAGAAACAAGACTAAAACTAAATTTGATTTTGCATCTTTTTATCTTACGGAATTTACGTGAGTTACAACTGGAAATACGCGAACAGCTTTGATTTCTCCTCCTATAGTGTTTAAACATTTCTGTAATATAGTGGATCAAATCCCAGTCATCCAGTCAGTAGTCGGACACTGTACCAACTGAGCTACCACAGTCATAAATTTCACATCTGTGAATGTGTATCATCGAGGATTTGTCACTTTCTCAAATTGTATATGCAGTCATAAATTCCACATCTGTGGATGTGTATCATCGAGGATTTGTCACTTTAAATTATTATTTTATTAAGGGAAGAGTTACGGGCCATCATTATTTTTAAAAATATAAAAATATTCTGAATATGAATGACGGGTGTCTCCAAGTGCTGTGATGGTAATCGCTAATCAAAGAGGCTGTGATAGGGCATACGTAGCAGAAGTGAGAAGTGCATGAGTGGAATAGTTCTTAAAGAGGTTTAAACGAGAGGCACGAACTGGAAGTAATACAAAAATGGATTTTTTGGATGTAGTAGTTGGAGAGATGGAACTGTTTCGGGTTTGGGTCTGGCGGTCAGCTTATGATGGTTTGGATTCCATAATAATGAGTTTTTAAAAATGGATGGATGCCCATTGGATACTCAGGGAAATGTTATTGTACTAATAATATCTACTGAAATTTTTCAATGAACTAGCAATTGTTTCTTCTGAGTTGAATTTCTTTTCAGTGTTGGTAATCCAAAGAATAGATTAATATTTTATTTCCTATTATTTTGTTTTATCAGGTTGCAAATATGAGTTCAGTGAATCGTGACAATGAGACGTACAGATACATATTGGATGGCCTGAAGTACGCCAATACGCTATATGATGTCCGTGTCTACCTGAGCTCTAAGTTAGCACTAGGGGAAGACAAATGGTCAGCTCCAGCTATAAACACTTTCAGGACAAAACCTACTAGTGAGTATGACGACGATGTGGTTGAGGTTGTTTCTCCCAGACAATTTATGATTTCCGCTTTTCACAGCGGTCAGTATCAAGGTGGCTGCCTTCTGGTATGTTGTGCCACATTGTCTGGTAGATGCTTACAGTCTTCATAATCAGGGCTGCCTTGTTGATGGAGGCAGCAACCACCTCAGAAATGTTGATAAACTTCTACCAGACTGCATGATGCATCATCCCAGAAGACAGTGTTCTTCCGTCCATCAATCATTCTTTGAATGTCATGTGAACTGGCATCTTATAAATAGTCGTACTTACTGACATTGTTTTAATAAAGGAAGTGGTTGATTTAAATCATCAAGAGTATGTTTTTTGGATGAGAATGGTTACTTACCAATTTCCTTGAATGCTGGATTACATTGTGCATTTTACATACCAGAGCATAGAATATACTTTTAAACTATGCAAAGTGGCATGTATGTGCAAAGAACTGTCATGGTGCATTTTATTTCTTCTTCT